ACCCATGTGGAAATAAATCAGAAATTAAGGAGAAATTTTGCGTGCACCACCTGACACACAGCTCCAACCCTCCTCTCTCTGCCCTCTGAGGCTTTTTTTTTTTCTATCAAGCAGCAGTTGTTGAGCTGCTGGGGGACGATTGACGATTGTCCCCCCACTCCCAGGGCTCTGAGGTTCTATTCCTGTTGGCAAAGCCCTGATGGAAGCAGCTCTATGAGAATTAACGCATCGCTCCAGCCTTCAGCCGAAGAAAGGGGCAGGACGGGCACCTCCACGTCAGCAGCAGCTGGGAGAGTTGCAGTACAGCATTAGTAGCTTGCGGAGATTTCTGCAGACGTTCTCAAATACCAAAAGCAAAATGGGCAGGCAGGGAAAAAATTACCAAAAAAAAAGTCAGAACTGAGAAAAGTAAACCCACATTTCATTGTGGACCCCCCTCACTCAGAGTACAAATCAGTTCAGATATAAACACATGTATTTGTCTTTATTCTGCTTGACAACAGTGGAAATTTCTTCTGATTTACCAAATTATCAGTACAGTGCTCGTGAAGTCACCTTCTGGGGGCTGGAGCAGCCAAGGAGAAGCCTGGCTTTCCCAGGGGTGGCTCCGAAATGGTCGGAGCGTTCTTCCTCATCTCACTTCATCTGTGCCAGCAGCTCTTCAAGTTCTGGTCGAGACTTTAACCGGCTCTTGAAGTCAGCTTCTGTGTGCTGTGGAGGGAGGAAAAAAAAAAAAAAAATCCAAGCAAATCAAAATCACCTCTTGAGTACTTTTTGAAATCAAGAGGAAGACAAACCCTCTCCCAAAGAGAACCACTTAAGAGTGGGGGGAAAAAAAAAAAAGATTTAAACATCCACTGAATGCAGGGAGTGGGAAGCCCCAGTGGAAAGTCATTGCAGGACTGGATCTCGTGGGCAGCTCCACCTCTGGAAGCTGGTGCCAGAGCTCCAAGTCTCCTCTTTTACATCCAGCCTCCTGCAGGAGCAGCTTTGGGGGCAAAACACAGAGGGCAGAAAGCTTCTGGACACATTTAGTCATTGCAGGGGCTCGAAAATTCTGCCTTGTTGGCTCCTCCTCACCTGGCTAACTGCTTCTGGAGGAGCAAACTGTGGCATTGTGCTCAAGAAGTCAACTGGACGCCCCCAACTCTTGCCACTGCCTGTCACTGTGGCATCTACTCTCTTGAGGAGACCTGCCACTTTCTCTAGAATTTTGCAAGAGCATCCCAAAGCTTTCATCTCTCTTCTGCACTGCCAGTCGCATGAAGTCAGCTTGGGTCTTATCCCCTGGGCTTCCTGCATCAGACTGCATGACTTTGCAAACAGCACAATGTCACAGTTCTCCCTCCAGAGGCAAAGCCATCAGCCAAAATTAAAAAAAAAAACAACCAAAAAACGGCTCTAAGACAGAGATGGGGAGTGTGACCAAAGCAGAGAGGATCACTGGACTCAAGAGACCTTCTCCCATATTCCTTCTGGTTTTGCAGAGCTAAATGTTCTTCAAAGACCACGTAAGAAGCAAACTGTGTTTTCAGGTTGGAATTTAGTGTGCTGCCTTCCCTTTCCAGCCACTCGATTCTTTTAGTCCCTGAATAAAAAGGTCTTCCTGGGCTTGTTTTGTTGGAATGTAAAATAACACAAGTTTAAGTATCTCCTTATGTGGAGATCCCAGTCACTGGAATTCTGTAAGTCCTCAGCGCTGAAAAAACTGTTGGGCCTTTCTGCAGAAAAGAAGCTGAACCCTTCCCAGAGCAAATTCCATCAAAACAGGGCATTTATTTGGGTTTCCAGTCTCAGCTTTGCTACTGACAGCTCCATAGTGATTCCTAGATAAGAGGCGGTGAAGCACTGCGGAAGGAAAGCATTCCCTTCCGAGTCGCACGGAATCTGCGGCAGCAAAGGAAAGCAGCCTGCCATCTCCTACAGATCTATGGGACTGGCTGGGAAGGTACCTTCTGTGGCACTAATTACAGGAGACTAAATAGAAAACGAAACATTCATCAAGAATCAGCGCTAATCATAGAATCACAGAATGGTTTGGGTTGGAAGGGACCTCAAAGATCATCCAGTTCCAACCCCCCTGCCATGGGCAGGGACACCCTCCACTGCACCAGGTTGCTCAAAGCCCCATCCAACCTGGCCTTGAACACTGCCAGGGATGGGGCAGCCACAGCTTCTCTGGGCAACCTGTTCCAGTACCTCACCACCCTCAATGTAAAGAATTTCTTTCTTATATCTAACCTAAATCTCCCCTCTTTCAGTTTAAATCCGTTGCCCCGTGTCCTATCATTACATGCCCTTGTAAAAAGCCCCTCTCCAGCTTTCCTGTAGCCCCTTTAGGTACTGGAAGGCTGCAATAAGATCACCCTGGAGCCTTCTCTTCTCCAGGCTGAACAGCCCCAACTCTCTCAGCCTGTCTCCAGAGCAGAGGTGCTCCAGCCCTTGGATCATCTCTGTGGCCTCCTCTGGACCTGGTCCAGCAGCTCCATGTCCTTCTTGTGTTGGGGACCCCAGAGTTGAACACAGTATTCCAGGTGGGAATGCTTTTTGATGGACCAAGTGAGGGCCTGGTTCTGGAAGATCCCGGGTATCCGTAAGTCTAGACAGCAGTCTCAGGAAGGACCACGTCTGTATTTTCAAAGCAAATTCACGTCACGCATCGTATCTGCTTCCTAAACGCAGAGGCATTGGTAAAATTCCACATACCTCTTTGACTAACAGATGAACCCCTTCAGGCTGATTACTCTGAATAATTTCCAAGAGTATCGGAGCAAACGTGGAACTCAAACCACTGATCTGAAAGAAGAAATAAAAGCGCTGCAGGAGCAGAACACCACGTACAAAACGGACTCGTTACACTAATGGCACGGGAAGGGAGTCCGTTTCAGGAGGAGCCTGTGGCAGTCAACCACTTCATTAGAATCACAGAATCACAGAATGGTTTGGGTTGGAAGGGACCTCCAAGATCATCCAGTTCCAACCCCCCTGCCATGGGCAGGGACACCCTCCACTGCACCAGGTTGCCCAAAGCCTCATCCAACCTGGCCTTGAACACTGCCAGGGATGGGGCAGCCACAACTTACACACTATAAACTAGGAAAAAGTCACTCAGAAGAAGAACCTGTTACCTCAATCAGTTGCACGCTTTTGAAGCTGGCTCTGATACCAACAGTATTTTTAAATTTCATCGAGTTTGTCCAATCATTTATCCTCAAACATGATTTTTCTACCCCTTGCATCAAGTGTTCTGTGTGAAACAGATAATAAATCTTCTGGACAAAAGACAGAACCCAGGAACCCCTCTTCTGCTTCTACTTTGTGAGTAACCTTTAGCAAGAAATCTAATTAGACTTCTTTGCACTTTACAAACAAATTTGCAATTTACACACAAATTACACCTTTTTTTTTTTGTTCGAGGAAATTAACTCCAACTGCTCAGGGGTTTTGAAAGCCCGAGATAGAAGATGCCCAGCACTACCAGCAAACACCAGCGCATACCTGGACAACCCTCTGATGGGTAGTAAGGACGGCGTCCAGCTGCATTTTGGAACCTCGCTCTTCCAAGAACAGCACCTCGTTGGTTTTGGTGGGCATCGCGTAGCTGCAGGAACCACAGGGCAGTGCTTAGGACAGGGATGACAGATTCTCACTACTTTACAGGAATGAATCAACCCCCAGCAGCAGAGAAATGTGGAAGGAGATTAACTTTTCACGAGAAATTAATTATGCAAACAATGTATCTTGCAAATCAAGCACTGGCAGAAGCCGGGTGTTTTACTGGAAAGAGATAAGGGAGAAGCTTGCAGCAATACTGCCAGCAAAAATCTGTTTCAGCTACAAACACCAGCTTGAGAAGAGACCTTTTAACTTCTTTTTAGTTGAAGAAGAGCTTTAAAGCAAGAGTTCGAACTTATTTTGTAATAGTCTGTCTATTCTCATCGGGAATAGAGCTGAAAACCACTGCTGCAACGCACCACTCAAAATGAAATTATTTTCACCTCTGTGAATTCAACAGGAGCACGATCAGGCACCGGATCAGGTCCTACTCCCTGGGTAGCTTAACTCCAGGGATGCCAGCCTCCCCACCTCCGTTTGCACAGCATCAATAACACCAGGCTACATCCTACTGCCCACGTTTTACCCTACAAATTTTGCTGTTGAAGGCTAAATCGTTTCTTTCTATACATACTGCACCCTGCACACCAAGTCCGACCTCAGAGAGCACAAGTATGACACAAGGTAGTCACTCTTTACACTGCAAGTGCCATCAATAGTCTCAGGCTGTGGGATGTGAATCATAGAATCATAGAATGGTTAGG